CTGTGGATTTGTTTCTCTAAAGTACCTAGACTAATAAAAATATTCATATATAACATCTATTAATGGATACCTCAAATTTCTGTCAAAAATTCAACTCCCTTCTCTTAAAAAATGTACTCTATATGTAGACTTCTCATTAAATTCCAACTTTATTTGTCCAGTTAAGACAAAAAGCTTGGCATCATCCTTCTCTTCCAAAATCCATGTCATATACTGGAAAATCCGGATTGCTCTACATTCAAATCCAACACCTACCACCCACTGGTCCCAGTCTGCCTGCTTCCTCTCTTTAGACTGATCAACATAGCAGTCAGATGACTTTTTATCATATCATGCTACATATCATGTCATATCAAGTCATCCTTAACTCAAAACCTCCCACGGGTTCCTAGCCCAAAGTAAATATTGAAGACCTTAGAAAGGCAGGTGCAAACCTCTGGGATTCTCAGGTAGCCTTTGTTTCTTAATCTTTGATTATCAGTGAGATTGTTTTATAATTGGTTGGACCTTTACAATACAATCCTTTACCAAGATTGCCCCAATTAGTTTCCTTTCTCCACTGTAGGTAGATTTAACTTCACCATGTAAGAATATATTCCCAAGAAGAAGATTCATGTATGTAAAGTTTCGGGAAGAAAAAAAGGACTTGCATATCACATTTATTTTTTATAGCATTAATAAAAATTTAGCATGCTAAGAAAGTTACAATATAAAAACACCCTCAATTCTAATTTTGACACAGACTGACTTTTATGCACTCTGTGACCAAGAGTTTCTTTTAATGAACCACATCTCCATTGTTCAGTCATTCAAAGAAATCCTACTCTAAAAACACTTCGTTGGTGATGTAAGCCCGGAACTGGAAACAATGCAGACTGTGCTATCCAACCAAGTGTTCTCGAAGAAAAGGATGTTTTTCATATTGACCAGGGAACATCAAAATAGCATTCTCCTTTGGAGACAGTGTTACCTGAATGGGGGTAAAAAAAAGTCTAGATATAATTATGATGTTTAAAAATCTGTTTCCTTATAAAATCATCCATAGTGAGTAAAACTAGGAAATAAGCTAATGTAAAGATTTAATGTAATACAGATTTAAAAATTTATGAGCTACTTAGACACACTATTTGCAAAATTCATTTGGAAGAGCAAGTAGAAAAAAATATATTTTAATTTACAGCGTACTGGTACTTGATCTGTTCTACTTGATTTTAAAGCTTATTATAAAGCAACAATTACTTACGTCATGTGTTCAGGAAGCATGTGTATGCATGTTCGTGTGTGCTGCACATGTGTATATACATACATACATACATACATACATACATATATATATATATATATATGAAACAAAGCACAGAGATGACACAGTTATAGGGGTTTCCTAGAAATATCCAAACAATTTCCAGGGGTGAGTTACTAGGTTAAAAGGCTTAGGCCCATAGTTTCCAAGAACAACTTAACTTAGAAAATCATCTAATATAGTTTATAAAGAAAATGCTCTAACTCCTACTTTAC